TTTTTTTTTTTTTTTCCCCTGCTGGTTCTTCCAGCCTCCGCCTGTACTGCTACCGATACCCCCCCTGGCTCACAAGGGTCCGCGTACCGTTCGCCTGAGGGTCGGACTGGTGATTAGAAACTGTCAAAAAATAAGTGAATGGGCCTCCCTCCACTACTCACCAGATGCACAAAAGACACAAAATATGACAGACTGCAGTGAGTGTATTTTCCCATGTTCTAGCTGAAGACTCAGGGCCTCTCCACACCATTTCGAGGAGTGCAGGGTGGCCGCCACACCAGCTCCGGAATAATGGATTCCTTACTTTTCCCAAAAAAAAAAAAAAAAAAAAAAAAAAAGAAGTCAACGTGTCCAATTGAGTATGGGAGCTGTCAGAAGAATGTACGACCGGAGAGCACTCGGAGAGCCGCCTGCCTCCTGCATAAGTTCTTCATTTCCATCTGGATTGGAGCTTCGGTCTGTGCGTCAACAGAAAATGGGTGTACTTGGGTCTGTGCGTCAAAAGAAAATGGGTGTACCAACTGAGCTGGGCCCCTTTGGTGGGGCCGCAGGCCTCAAATTCAAATTCGGCCGCCACGAGCCGTCGATGACGCCGCCGGCTTTCCGCGGGAACATTCAGGACCGGCGCTGGAAGGGACAGCAGACTTGTGTGAGATGGGCATCGCCACACCACACTCGAAATGTGAAAAAGACAAATTTAAAATGTGGAGGGTGCATCTGGCCATGATCTAAGGGAAAGCTCGTTCTCATTTTGCACATTTCGAGAGTGGTGTGGCCATGCGCTTATTATGATGGAAAGGAGAAGTCTTACAGGACTTTGTTTACTTCGTTGTCTGGTCTGTCGCTGAAAGACGAAAAACAGTTTGATGGTGCACAATTTATTTATTTATTATTATTATTTTTTTTTCAAAATTGCACATTGGTACTCGTTGCTGAAAGGAAATTGGGGCCGGCCACCCCACATAAGGCCGGACAGGGAGCATTACCCCAGTCCGCTTTGAACACAAATCGTCGTCTGCCTCAACTAAGAGAAGAGATGGTGCAAAAAATTTAATGCACTGGGCAAACCAAAAAAAAACGCCCAGCGCATACCAAGTCCACATACACTGCACCTACTCATGCCACTACACTGCACCTAGTACTGCCAAATCCACTGAACCTACCAAGTCCACATACACTGCACCTACCAAGTCCACATACATTGCACCTACCGGTAGTAATGCCAATACACTGCACCGCATTCACATGGTACGCTGCACCGGTACGCGTTTCCCCTACCAAGTCCGGGTACACTGCACCGGATCCACAAACACTGCACCGAGTCTTTATACATAGGGCCTCCCCCCACCACTACGGATTCAGAAACGAAAGGAGTACAAGTGCAGTGCATGTTTCGACATAGGGCATCGCCACACCACTCTCGAAATTTAATGTGAAAAAGACAAAATGGGGAGGGTGCATGTGGCCATGATCTAGTGGAATGTTCATTCTCATTTTGCACATTTCGAGAGTGGTGTGGCGATGCCCATCGTGTTTTGTCCTTTTCACATTGAATTTCGGTGAGTGCGACGGTGAAGCCCAATGCCTGTCTCTTATACACATCTAGATGTGTATAAGAGACAGTCTCTGAATCGTTCCAATTTTAACGGATGACCCTAAGGACCACGTCTTTTTTTTTTTTTTTTTTTTTTTTTTTTGGGAAATGTACTGTGACCGCTGTGAGCTGGCCAAACATTTGGAAAAATGTGCACTGGTACATTTCCGGGGGCCAAGTCCCACTACCACTGTAGGGTTGAGTTTCCTCTACACCTGAATCTGGTCGTGTTTGAATTTCCTCCTCAACTGCACGTATCCACAAACACGTCCAGATTCAGGCGTTTTGAAGAAACTCACCGCTACTGGTGGTGGGATTCGGCCCCCGGAAATGTAACGGAGCACATTATTCCAAATGTTTGGCCAGTCAAAAAAAAAAAAAAAAAAAAAGTTTGGCCAGCTCACAGTGGTCACACAGTACATTGAGAATGTGTTCGAACAAAAACAAAAACAGAAAAAAGAAGAAGAAAAAAAATTCGAAAGGACCGTCCAAAACCAAATGCACAAGGCGCATAAGACAGTCCAGATACGTATCAAACGCTGAACAGTTATTGTGGAGCGAGGCCGTATGCGCTCCCCTCCTCCCCCTCTCATCCATCGGCAATTCCGCATCCAGGCTGAAAACTACTTAATGCGTTCATTGAGGCTTGCTTGTTCTGATTCCGACTTTCATCTTCACTGTCAGGGCAGACGAGACGCGCTGTCGAAGCCAGGGTCACCGGTCTATGCTTCTCTCTCTCTATCCTTGTCTCTCCTTCCCCATCTTGACCATCTCCATCTCCACCAACCTTGGGTGTTTTGTGTGCTTCATCCCTCCTCCTCCTCCTCCTCCTCATCGTCCTCCTCCTATTCTTCTCCCTCCTCCTCCTGCTGCTGCTCCTCGTTATCGTTTGCTAAACAAGCACTCTACTACGGAGTGGTGTTTAGATTCTCTCTCACCCTCCCGTTCCCCCCCATTCCCCTCCCCCCCCTCTCTCCCATCCCCTCCCCCCCTTCGCGCTCCTCACCTCCCCCTGGCATTCTCTCTGCTGTTGCTCGTTCTTTTTTGTGGTTGCTGTTCGACATGCCGCGGTTCGAGTCCCTGCTGGAGTGTATTGGCAACACGCCGGAGGTTCGCTTACGCAACACGTTCAGCGAGGAGGATGGGCTGAGCGAGGGGACGAGGCTGTACATCAAATGCGAGAGATTCAATCCGGGCGGGTCAATCAAGGACCGCATCGGTCTGCAGATGATCGAAGACGCGGAGGCCAGCGGGGAGCTCGTCCCCGGGGTGTCGGAGATCGTGGAAGTGACAAGTGGCAACATGGGGATAGGCCTAGCAATAGCGGCGGCATTCAAGGGGTACCCCTGCACATTCATCATCCCCGGGTACTATTCGAGGGAGAGATGGACAACCATGGCCGCCTACGGGGCGGGGGTGGAGATCACCCCTCCCGAGCTGGGCGTTCCCGGCGCGCTGGACCGCCTGGCGCTCTTCCGCCGAGAGCGACCCAACGCCTGGTTCGCTAATCAGTTCGACAATCCCGCTAATCCCAAGGCGCACTCGGACGGGACGGCGGAGGAGGTGGTGAGGGATTTCCCCGAGGGGATAGACTACCTCATCGCGGGCGCGGGGACGGGAGGGCACCTGTCGGCGCTCGCGCGCAAGCTCAAGAAAGTGTGGCCAGCCTTGAAGGTGTACTACGCGCTGCCATCTGTCAGCAGGTTCTATGAGTCCTTCTTACCAACAGCAGCCGCAGGAGCAGCAGGAGGAGGAGGAGAGGGTGGGGAAAAGGACGAGGAGGAGGAGGAGGAGGAGAGGGGGATGCGGTTGATCGATGTGGATCTGACGGTGCCGTCGGGAGAACACCGCCTCCACACTCTTCAAGGCCTCAACCCCGGGCCTTTCAGACCATTGAACATGGAGTTCGAGAACCTGGACGCCTTCGTGTACGTGACGCAGGAGGAGGCGTACGAGTATGCCAGGAGAGCGACGAGACGGGATGGATTGTTCTGCGGAGCGAGCACGGGGGCGGTTCTAGCTGCCGTCGCTAAGGTGCTGCCGGAGATCCCCGCAGGGTCCACCGTTCTCGCTTTCAACTACGACCTCGGAGATCGCTACCTCAGCGTGCCCGATCTCTTCACGGACGAGAACGTGCGCATCTTAAAGTCCATCGAGGACCCCATACTCCCACCCCCGAACCGACACCAACCCAAGGTCATCATAGGTCGGCCCTCTCAAGTACCCAACGACGCCGTGAGACCGCGCAAATCCGAAAACGAGGCTGACCACTAACAAGCTCCGATGCTTCCACGACCACCATCTACCCCTCTCTCTCTCTCTCTCTCTCTCTCTCTCGCCCCCGGAGGACAAAGTGGACACTTATAGGCGCTCCCACTAGTACCTAACCTTCGTCCCTCTCTCTCTCCCTCCCCCACTCCGGGAAAACGTAGCCCGCCAGTAGGCGCTTCCACTAATACCTAGAACCCCTCGTCCACCTCCCCCCCCCCCCCCCCCCCCCCCCCCCCCCCCCCCTCTCTCTCTCTCTCTCTCTCTCTCTCTCTCTCTCTCTCTGTGTGTCTCTCTGTGTGCCCCCGTATTCACAGAGGGAATTGGTTGCTACCTTGCGAGCGCTCGCGGTGTGGGTGGGTGGTGATTCCACGAACTGTGTGTGTGTAGTTTGTTGTCTTGTGGCGAGCGAAGCAGGGGGGATGAATAAAGACGCCTTTTACGTGTTTGTTCTCAGAGGCGGGCTACATGTTCTCCCATACATCGGAGAATCATATTATTTTTTTACTCTGAACCAGAAGAGGACCAAGATTTGGTATCTCCAAAAGAATCTGTTATGGTAATTATAGTGTTACTTAAAGTTGATTGAATATAAGCAATACCGTGTTTTGTTTGCATGGCGTTTTTGATGTTATTTGACTTTGCAAGTATGATAAGATGCATAACGATGACCCAGAAAAAACGACAACTCTGGGTCTGTGCATGTTTTCTTTCATCTGTTTTGCGTTTTTGTTTGGGTTTCCCACTCAAGCTCCAGTCTCCCACTTCGTGGCCGCAAGTCCATTAGTATGTGTTCGTTGGGCCTTATGGCGACACGATAACAACCATAAGACAGATAGAATTCAATTTGATTGAATTGATGATTCACTCACTTAACTGGTGCGCTTTTTTCCGACTTATTCGATTCGAAATATGACATGTTTTTTCCTGGAAATTGAGGCCCTGTCCAATCATCCAATTTTGTTTTGTTCAGTAGCGCTAGCTTAATTCAAATTTCGTCACTTTCTAGTACCCAT